GTATGGATCTTCTCTTTCCTGACCCCCAAATGAGGTTTTCTCCTTGGTTTTAACTGCCTCTGTTTTTCTCAATGGGGAGGCAAGGAAAAGATTGCCTCTACGGAAGTGGGTTACGCCTGCGGAAGTGGGACCTGAAAATGGTCAGCAGCACTCTTTGAGCTGTCATGGTTTAAGCCCAGCTGGACACTCAGAACCATGCAGCCACTCGCTCACTCCCCTCCCCCCCCCCCTTCCCTTTTTTTCCCCCAGCTCCCAGAGGGATGGAAGGAGAATCAAAAGAATGTAACTCCCATGGGTTGAGATAAGAACAGTCCAGTAACTAAGGTATAACACAAAACCACTACTGCTACCACCAATAATAATAATGATAAGGGAAATAACAAGGGAAGAGAATACAACTGTTCACCACCCACTGACCAATACCCAGCCTGACCAGAGCAGCGATCTGGCCCTTCCACGTAACTGCCCCCAGTTTATACAGTGGGCATGACGTGCTGTGGTATGGAATACCTCTTTGGCTAGTTTGGGACAGGTTTCCTGTCTCTGCTTCCTCCCGGCTTCCCCTCCTCCCTGGCAGACCATGAGATTCAGAAAGTCCTTGGTCAGCGTAAACATTACTTAGCAACAACTAAAAACATTGGTGTTATCAGCATTGTTCCCAGGCTGAAAGTCAAAACCACAGCACTGCACCAGCTACTAAGAAGGAGAAAAGTGACTGCTACTGCTGAACCCAGGACAGAGCAGAAGATTCCAAGAATTTCAAGATGATGCCCCTTTCCCTCCTCCCATAGTCTACCTGGGATAAGAAAGTGATGAGAAAAAAAAACAACATACTGAAGCCCAGACTGCAAGTAAGTGGCAGTATAGAGCTTCTGGGGACAAAACTAGCTCTAACTGCTTAGCACTGCATGGACAGTGAAAATGAAAATTGTCCAGGCTGAATCATTGCCATTCTTTAACCTCTTAAAGGCTCTGAGGCTGCTTCTCAATCTCACTTCTGCTAGGCTTTCTGGACCTATACAAGGATCTTAGAAATTCCACTGATCTCCTTCCAGACAAGAGGGAATACAGAGGAGAAAATTTCTCTCCTTGTTCCAAAAATAATTCATTTGGCCCACTTTTGCAGGCCTTCATAGTTCTCCAGATCATATTAACTGCACTGCATGATTCTTTTAACTCTGATACAACCAGAAGTATTTCATGGTATTACTGTAGCCATGTATGTAGGGTGCCATCACACAACTCTCCATTGTGGAATAGTGGTTATTGTAGGTGTAGAGGTAGACAGCACTTAAAGCCAGAGAAAGACTTACCTTCTTTGGATTTTGTTGCATAACTCAGCTGCCACCCCCATGGCAGAAAAGAGCAGGACTGCAGGGCATCAGTAAAAGCCTGCTAGGATGTGAAGCTCGTTTTTCAAGGTTGAGCAGGGTTTTTCCCACTGAAAAGAGGGAATCACCTCTATGTAGAGTAAAGCAGTTATTCCCATACAGGTGAGTCCCACTCTGCACAGAGAGCTATACTAACCCCAAAGCAAACTGCACCCACCTGCTACTAATCACCTTCATGCTACTCCTCACAGGCCTCTCTAATCACTTCAGTTAAAGCTAAAGTCCATTGAGCAGCTCAAATTGAAGGTCTTTGCCAATAAAGCTCTTTCTGGTTGACTGAATAGAGGAGTCCTCTGAATAGCTTATCAAGATGGTCTGAAGGGACAACTTCTGCAGTGCAGCAGCCTCTTCTTGTGGCTCTCTAGCATAGCTAGAGCTGTAAGACAGCTATCCTCAGCTCTGGCCTTCCCATTTGCAAATTGTCTTAAAGGTATCATCACCCTAGCTTCTCATGACAACCTCCCAGCAAAGGTGATAGACTCTGGTGCAAAGTGAGCTGCTTGCATTCAGCCACATGTGGCTGGAAGTAATCCAGCTAACTGCAACAGGTTAGGAGATACTCCCCAGGTCTGCTTCTGGGCTACACTGTGGGGAGCAGTGATCTCCAGTGATGAAAAGCTGGGACTGGAAGTTCTTCAGCTTGCGCAGCTGGACCTGGAAAAGGACGCCTGGATGCAAGGTATCTTTAAATATCCTTATACAGCTGTGTCAATAATTTGAGCCTCTACTGTTTTTATTATTACAGTTAAAATTCACCCTACCTGTACATTAACACTGGCACAAATGCTTTGTAGGGCATCCTTAAAACTATTGAGGGTGTGGGTGCATAGAGGGTTAAGTACTGCTTATTTGTAAAGCACTTTGATCAGATGTCAGGCTGTAAATACCAAGTGTTATTCCTGTGTGAAATAGCCAGATAGTTTGACTTAGTGGTTCCCAGGGTTTGTAAGTGGCAAGGGTGGAAGTACAGGGCAAGCCTCAGCTGCATTACAGCATGATACATCGTGAACTCTGCCTTCCCTGCTGCAGACAAGTGGAGAGAAGAGAGAGGAAACCACACCAGCAGGGATGTCTGATGACAGGCAAAAGCATTTGCTGTCCTGAGTAAGAGGATCAAGTGCTGATAAGCAGACTGCAGGGTATATGAAGATAGGTAAGATAGATTTAGTCCTCCTCTCTCCCACTGGGACTTCTCATGGTGGCTCTGGGCCACTCTCAGACTGCGTTGCGATGATAGGGGACAGCTGAGACCCCGCTAACATCATCCCTGCTTCTGAAACATTGGTACCAGCAAGTCCCACTGACGAGACAGATGACAGCTCTGAATGGGGTCAGGCTCCTAAGCCTCCACATGAGTTTATACCCACCTTGTAAGTGCAGCAAGGGTTCACAGAATTGAATGACTGGAAGTAAAATATTCCAGTTAGGAACAATAAGTTCATTAGGAACAATTAGTACATGTGATAGGCATGAAGGCACAGAGCCCAGATTTCATTAAGGTAGTTTTTATATTTTTGAAAAGCAATATTAAAAAACACCGGGAAATGCAAGATAAATGTAACAGTTGCTTCTACAAGTTTTAACCTTGTATTGCTTGGCCATTTTGACATATAAATTATTGCTTACTAGCTCTCATAAATGCACAACACAATTATACGTACAGAGGCAGACAAGCATGAAATATGAAAAGGAAAACACTGGCAATATTGATTCTGGTAAATCGGATTATTTCATACATACCACATCTCATAATGGTGGATAACTACTAGCTGTAGTCCCTGAGAAGTTAGGTAAATACCTCGATTTGGGCTTTTCTATTTTATTACTTTTAATGGAAGCTGACAGCATTATGGCAGTCAGAGAGAACAAACAGGCAGGTGTTGTTACCTCAGCTCATTGCCTTCATCCCAGTATTTAACAGTGTATAAAATGATAATATATAGGCTATGCAAACAAATATTACTCTGCTAAAATGTTTAGTATATACATATTTCTCTGTAATTTTATAGCAGCATGTCTTATTATTTCTGCTAACACCTTTTCTTTTTTGCCACTGTCATGCAAATGCAATTTATTGCTATCCAAGATGGTGCTGGAATCAAAAAGCTATGTCATCAAAACATCTAAATTTGATGCCAAAAAAATCCCACATCAAAGAGGTATTAAGTGACCAATCTTTTTTTCCTTTGTCTGTCTAATTACTCCTCCTAGCTACTAAATAAAATATGCAGAGTGTTTAACCACAGGTGTGACTGCAATAAACTGAACTTACAAGATTAATGGATTTTATCCTATGTGAGCTGATTGCACTATTGAAGGTTTGAAAAAAAATCACGCAATATCACCAGTGCTGGACCCTGGCAGAGGCTGTATAATGCCCTCCTTCCCTTTCACAGGGCTTACTTTTGGTCTTCCTCCCAACTACATCTTCAAACTGCTTGTCAGTCTGCAGCTCAGCTCTGCAACTCTTCACCTGTTAAACAACGGGCTTTTTTCTTTTTTTTTCTATTAGACATAGCTACAGATTCGGGCTATTTGCCTTTCCTTTATAGTAACAATTATGAGGTCCATATTTTCCATGTGAAACTGATGCACCCACGTTAGCCCCTCAGACCAGAAATTAATACTGGAGTTATACAGGACCCTACAAAAACTAGTTTCTGAAGTTTTAAACAGTAGTCTAAGTAGCCACAACACATATAGCGAGCTTAATGCTAGCTATGTGCCTTCAAACTGGTTTTATGCCAGCTGCAAGGGGCTGACAACACCTGATTTAGTATAAAAGTTGCAGCAATGCAGATAGCCAGTACCTCAGTTGGTTCAAAGACTACTGGAACAACTACCCATCCAGTTACTTAAACCATTACCATACCATTACTTAAACCACTTAATCCAAACTGGCAATGAGGAGCCTTCAAGGGGCCTCTAGCATATTTTCAAATCAAAGCCAGAGCACAAAGTAATTTTTCTTCTTACATTTTTCATTCTTTTTTTCCCCTTCTTTCACTTTCCTGTCTTTCATTCTTCTCCGCCATTGCTGCTGGTTTATCAATGGCACTACCAAAACTATGACAAAGCCAAATGCATGAACTAAGAAACAGCCCCACTTTCTCACCCTGCATGCCCTTCCTATGCTACCTCTCCTACGGATTTCAAGGGAATCGTAGAGTCATAGGGTAGTTCAGGTTGGAAGGATGATCTCAAAATTCATCTAGTCCAACCCCCCTGCAATGAGCAGGGACATCTTCAGCTAGATGAAGAACAACTTGTGGACTACAGTGTTACACCACATGAGCTGAAGCATGCAGGCTGGTCGGTCTACATACAGGCTCGAAAAAATAATGCCGCAGTAAAAAAAAAAAAAAAAGGATTTCACAAGGGGGAGCTCAAAAACAAGCAAACCATCCAGGTAATGCAGCTAGGGTGGGAGTTCCTCAAGTGCTGTAGCCAGAACTGAAATAACACAAGCAGCAAATTGCATCTGGTTTGTGTTCTTACACTGCAAAAAGGAGCCCACCACAGCTAGTATACTCATCTGAACAGTTTTGGTCTGTTTGCACAAAAGAGTTATTTACAATATGTGCAGTCACATCTACAGAAAAACATAGGAAATTTTTACTCCATGGCCAGCAAGAGTTTATTTTTTTCTTTTTACTGGGTAAAAAGATATTTTTTTTCCTAAAAAAAAAACATATAGTATTTGATAATAACAAAGTACAAGCAAATACACTTCTGAAACATCTGTTTCCTTTACAACAGATTTATACAGTATTTCACAGATGGGAAAACCAAATGCATTCTACAGATTCCCAGAGACTACTTGTTAAAGCTGTTTCTTTTTTAATCCCTTTAAACCAGAGATAACACAATTATGAAGAGCATGCTGCTTCAGTATTCCCACATTTCAGTAAAGGAGCATTTTCTTGAAAGTCTTCCTCATGTGGAAAACATACAATAGAGATGGGCAAGCTGTGCAATGTATTCTCCCTGCTCTGCAAAGGGACTGTTGCCGTAAGTCAGTATACAAATGCATGCCAGACTGCGTAACACATTGCCTGTGGTATTCACTAGATTATTTCAGGGCAGCTTAGCGCTCAAAACCAGAACTACCGTGATCGGTGATGGTGGTGCTTAGATGTAGGTCAGCTGTAGACAAGACTTCAGAAATGCTGCCTCAGGACATGCCCAGAAGTAGTACTTTTAGCTATAGAAGAATTGGCATGGGGAGGGGTGTGAGAGGGACAAAAGCAATAAAAGGACTCTGAACTGAGAGCCCAGTGTGTATGCAGGTAATTACACTGGTACCCTGTAAGGTGTACCCTTTAGTTGTTTAAATACTAGAAGCATGTGCAAGTTAGGTGAAGCTTTACCCGCTGAAGTAGTATTTCCAGGAGGTGAATTAGGAATGTAGGTGGATCTAGGCATTGCCTTTGAGTAGACACCAAGAAGGCTGTAATCCAAGCAGAAAACAAAGCTCCCACTATCATAATTTACAAAACATTAACTGCAGGAGCTGGTGCTAAATCTCAGATAACTGAAAAGGAAGAAAATAACATGTTTTCAGTGTACAAACAATTGTGTCCATAAATTGCAGCAAAAGTGGATTGGCTCTTTCAGTGTGTTTTATAAAGCAGATTCTTAATGGGCCATAACAGTGTGAACTGTTGTTTATTGCTGACCTTCACAATGCACTCTTGAGTTTCATCTGGTGTGCTGTCTTTTTATATTCTCATTCTTGGTTGTCAGCACTTGTCTTAAAGAAGATGCTCCAATGGACTCTGGGGAGCTGCATGGATTGCCCAGTATTTCTGGCAACAATACTTTGGCAGCCTTGAATTAGTGAAGTACATACTGTGGTGAACTGACAATCAATCCCCTTGTGGCATGTTGCTGGCTGAAATGTTTTGCTGCTGCGACACGACCATTCCTTTCATTCTGATACTGTCAGGATTTGCATTGAAAGCTACACTGGACCAAACAATATTTTCACAGAAACCAAGCTTCTGAGCTCAAAGGATGCTGCTCTCCTCCCTGGGGTGCTAGTGTCCAGCAGGGATGGCACCAATCTCACCCTGCAACTCTGTGAGCAGCTCCTTTGCTGGCTCTTGCCTGATTTTCCTGTGCATGTTGTGTGAGCTACTGATAAAACTCAGTAAACTGTTCTTATATAGGGAAGCAACATGCTTGGCATAAACATTCACTTAATTCAAAGTGCTGGAGTTACAAGGTTATATGAAGCCATGTACGCTCACGCTCTCGGCTCTATCCTGTGAGAAAGATCAAACAGAGCTTGCTGGTTATCAATGACATGCAGGTGATGGACGTATGGCTTCAGCTCGTGATGCTCTTTTGAAGGAACTTCATTGCCTGCAAGACAGGAGAAAGGATCAGAAAGCCATGCCTTGCCCACTTCTCTGTCCTGTGCATTACAAAATCCCTGGCATGCCAACCTGTCAGGTGCTGGACAGTCACAAGAAGGACAGCCAGTAATCCAAGGTACCTGCTGTTTTAAGTGCAATTTGTGAGGAAACAGCTGGATACAGAGAAGGAGAGAAGAAAGAATGAAAGCAGCAATGCTGGCCAGCCAGTGTGCACAAAGGAGGGACAAGTGGACTGCAAGAAGCTGACTCTTCCCAAGTGGAAGATTTAATCCTCCCATCTCCTGTAAGGGTGGTTGAAAGTTTTCTTTGTGCTGCTCTAGCAGCACGACAGGACATTCAGCAGGAGTGGGTGGCCCAGCCTGTAACTTTTAAACAACCTTAGCACAAGTACACAAGACAGCAGGCCCTGGATAACTTCCTTCAGAGCAGCTGAAAGGTGACAATAGAGCAGACAGATACGAAAACTGTTCAAAGCTGCTCTGACAGGCCCCTGCCTTTTGATCTATTCCACTTGTGATTTCTGATATAGTAACAGAGACGATGTTACAACATCATGTAACAATAACAGTCATGCTGTCATTTCATGGGAGTTTACACAGAAAGAGGAATTAGCTGTGTAACAGACAAATTGAATGGTGGCTGGGACAGCAGATGTTTTCTGTTATAAGCTTTATGCCTGACACTGTCTTGTGGGAACTTGCCAGCTGTGAAACCCTCCAGCATGGCTGGTGACCAGCAGAAGTGCAAAAGGAAAAGCTAAAACCATGGCCACCAGACCCATCAAGACAGGGAGACAAAGCAATGTTTCCCACACATTGCTGACTGCTGACAAACAAGTGAAGGTTGGAGAGCTCCATCCTAGGCCATGTCCTCAAGCAATTTTAAATATTATCCTAAATTAAAGAAGAAAACCCCTCAAAATTTCCCAAACCAATCACCTTAACTCCTACACTCCCTCCCTCTCCTTTTATATATTATCATCATTTTCTCCACACTCTCCAGCTACACAAGAAGCTTTCCAGAAACTGACCATCCGTTTTGTTTCTGACGAGAGCTGTACGATGCTGCATGGGTAATGTGGGATGACAATGCAGTCAGTTCTATGTGCAGCTGCTAATGGGGCTCCTGGGCAGCTATTTTTAAGAGTTATTTCTGAGCAGCTATCTAACTTGAGAAATGTAGGAGAGAACAGGACATGATGAATTTGTGTTGGGATACAGAGATGACCTTTTTGTTTTGAGGGAATAGAATCCCAGCAGCTGTGCTGAATGTACTGAAAAACATTTGTATTTCTCGTTAACACCTGAAATAACAAAAGCTTGAATTACATTATTTTCTCAGGCTGCTTTGCCTGTTTTTGGAAACGCTATTATTTGTTTTCAGGATTTAGGGTATGAAAGTGTTATTTCTGTTAAAAAGGCATTTCATTCTTGCTCAGGACCAAACCAGTTTCTTAAGCTTAATACACATGATACAGTCCATAAACAATAATAATATTCCTTGCTTAGTTTTGTTTGAATTCTTTCCTACAGTGAGACATTTGTTGTTCTTAGACCAATCTAGAAATTGATTCAGTAGAAAGATTCACATTCCTGAGGGCAAAATTAGCCCACTAGAAAAGGCAACTGTCCATAAAGTCTCAATAAATATTCAGTGAATTCATTTCATGCCTAAATGAATTTCAGAAAAAAAAGTGCCTACAGGGATGTCTGTATAAGCTGCTTTTTAAATGCCAGCTTTACAATAAATCAAGTCTCTGGTAAAGTAAAACAACAACCAGGTACTTCAAACTATCAGATTATATGATAAATCTCAGGTATTAACCTTAGATTTATGCTGCAACACTTACAAAACCACTTGGGGAAAAAAAAAAGGCAAAAATGGGATGAAGGATTTGCAGAGAAGCTGCAAAAAATAAAATTCACATCATTAAAAGGAACCAATGCTACATTTTATAACACCAAATAAGAGACATTCTAATTTACAGAGGCATTGTTTGAATTAGTCACTATTTCCTTCACTACCTTGTTTCACAGAATAAAAACAAAAGGTATGTCCTTCTCCCTTTCCCTCTCTTATACATATGTATCTCAAAATAACACAAGAACCATAATACTGAGCAGCCTTTGAAAAACAGACTGTACAGACATATGGTAATTCTGAACAAATGTTCAGCAAAGCTCTTAACAGTGCCTGTCATTCTCCAAGGTGCATAAATTTACATACAAAAGTATTACTATCATTATTCTTTTTGTGGGAGTCTATGTTGAGAGCTGCTGAAAATTCAGTTAAAAAAAAAAGAAGCAATTCAAACCCTTTTTATTTCCCCCCAAGGTTACAGCACAGTTCTGAACTTCTCTTTGGAAAAGAAGTTTTAGTGGCCTCAATAAATGACATGTTTAGTGGGTTTAGCTCAAAAACTAACCACTTAATAAAGCAGTGCTGTGTTTGCCCCTTTCCTGTGTTTAACCTCTCTGCAGAGAATAAGAAATGCTGAGAAGGAGAAAAACAAGGTTTCTCTTCTGTAAGCAGCAGAACAAAGTGGGCTGGGGTCTTCTGGCATGGTACCTTAGAACTGGATTCTCTAGTGGCTTAACAGGTGGAAACACAGAAAAGAAGGATTCTTTTGTGCAGCTGATGCACTTGTGGCCATTCCTAAAAATGTAGATCCTCCAGTGTCTAAAGGAAGCAGAGCTCTATTAGCAGAGGTACTAACATGACTCCCTCTTTTCTACCTAGTCAGCTACTTTGATGAAACCCACAAGATCTTGGTATCTTCAAGACTTCTACCATTTTGTGAAATGTCCTTGAGAACCCAAACTAAGCAAACAATTGCTCTTGGTGGAAAGCCAAGTGAAAAGCTGTGGTGACAAATACCATCTTTTAGCTACTGGAAGCCAAGACAGCTATGAATCCATTACCAAAACAGAGTAGCAGGGCACTGAGGTAACTCAGTTATGATTGGAAAAGTAAAAAACAAAGCATAAACCACAGACCTTCGTGATTAAGAGCAACTGTCACAGATCTTAACATGGTATTTTGAAAAGGTCATAATTCTTGCAGGAAAATAATTTGTAAAGAATTTTGAAGCTGTTTCAACAAATATTTTGTAAAGTAAAACTCCATCCAACTGAGGACCTTCCAACAATGATGCCCCCTCTTGCCAACTTTTTAAATAATTGTTGACCACATTTTCCTGCTGTAGTAAATCTGAGCAAGTGGAAAGGAAGCAGAGAAGAAAAATACAAAACCTCAAGGCTGTACAAAGGCAAACTAAGTAGCAAATTTTGCCTACTCACCAAGCTGGTTGTTTCTGCAATGTCTCAATGACCGAACAGTATCTGCAATCATGTGCTGCAAAGACAAGATATAAAACATCAGTGCAAAAATCTGACATGGATTTTGTCACTAGAAAAACCTGGAAAAAAATCTCCTTGCCTACACTGTACAGCAAAAAAAAAAACAACAACCCAGTAGTGAGGTAGAAAATGAAGACAGCAGGAAAGAGACTTTGCTCTTTGTCTTAGCGATAATATATGATCCAACAGGGTTAGTTTAGAAGGTCCTTACTTATATAATCCTTACAGATTATATAAGAACAACTCCCTAAGAGCCCATAGAAAGTGGTTATGAAAAACTGACAAACAAACAATTGCCTATTTTTGTTCTTGTCACTTTTATTAAACTGAAAGCCTACAGCAGCATACTTGTATAATGCCTTGCACAATCAGGCACCAGTACCAGCTAGGCAGTTTTCTGCAGTATGATAACCAACACAAAAAATTCCCCAGCCCATAGCCTAAATACTGCAGAGGAAGTACCCTGACACATCTACAGGCATGTACCACATAAGACTATTCTGTATGTATACTATGTTAAAAAAAGCTGGTGCTAACACAGATACTGAATGTTCACCTAGATTAAGCAAGGGAAATAAAAGGTTTAAGTTTGGTTTCTTGTTTAGGCTCAGGTCTTAAACTTATGAGAACTGGAACTGCTCACTATAAATCAGTGCAGTGTGCTAATTTTCACTAGATGTCGCTCACAGAAGTTCATGAGGCATTACTTTTTCTTTATTTGACTGTTTTCTGTGGCAACTCTTCACTAAATCTAGTAATTTAAGCAATTTGCAGTTAGCAGGAATGATTTAATAGATCACGTAAACAGCTGATGCTCTTTTCAAAAATAATCAGAGGAGGAAAGGATTAAATATCTTGAGCAGAGGATGCTTAAGACCAGAATGACACAAAACAGCTCTCTCAACACCCTGGAAGTGGCTTAGAAGGCTCCTCCACAGAAAAATTTATCACGTTTACCAGAAACTTCATATTACTTTAATCAGTGAATCAAAATAATTTTTCTTGTTACCCACTGTGCATCACTTGCCATGACTTCGTGCAATCTTTTGTGCTGATGTCCTTGCAGTGATTATAATAAAGTTCTAATGAGATCTAGATTTCACGATCAATGCTGTGAGTATTAGGAGAGCTAAACTTCCACCAGAGCTGCTGCTATGATGTTTTTAAGCTGCTATGCTTTGCATTTGGCTTTTAGAAGTAAGAGAGATCCCAGTATTGCACACAGTCATTCTTTGCTGTTTCTCCATTGTAGTAAGTGTGGGGATACATCACCTGAAGGTGATGCTCTGACAATGGAAGAATCTCTTTGTGTAACACTCTCCTAAAGCAGAACCCCAAATCCCCTGGCTTTAGTAGCCTAATCAGGCATTTCTCTCTGTGTGTTTTCAACTCTCTGGGATCCAACTGTAATACAGAAAATCAGCCAATTCCAACTGCAAAACAAATGTTACTTTCTGACTGTTTGAGCAGGTGCTTGCATACCTTTAGTGTGATGAGTAACACACATTTTTTGTGGCCTTTCAGCCTACCAGCTACCTACGGTCATTAGCACCCCTTTAACTGAGGAGAGTAAAAACTCAGGCTTGGGAGTTGCCCAGATATTTGAGGGATGGTGGTTGAGAACCTTCAGCTGCATATACACAGTCCTTAGAGCTGAAGGTCCTAGGTAAGAAGGTGTTATCTAAGCCACTAATGCCCATTGACCTGTATTCAAGTTTGCTGGAGTGTGGCTAAGACATGTCATTGCTAGGATATGGGTGATGGCTGACTGGAGAAAAAGCCTGAAGGAGCCACATTTCAGTGAATCAGCTCAGTAAATATACTGGAAATACCTTGAGATGCAACAGTATAATACCATATTTTCATTTATTCCTTCAGATTTAGTTGAGGAAGTGGGTATGGTACTGTATATTGATCTAACACTATCTAGACTAGAGTTTACCCAACATGGAGTTAAATAAACCATTGCAATTCCTTAAACTTTAGTTAAAACTAGGCAATATTCCTAAGACAAAAGATTGTTTCACTTTCTTCTCTTTGCAAATTCCCTTCTTTATATTTTGAATTAACTTTCTCTTCAATGCAACCATGTAATTTCAAATCAAGTTAGTCACGTAGGACTGTTGAGGCCATGATGGTCTAAAACCATAAAAAAAAAAAAAAAAGGCAGGAATTGTAGGGAGAGAGAATATCTTGTATTAAACCAGCTGATACAGCTGGAAAAAACAATGGTTTGGACTAAAAAAGTGTCCTTTGGGTGAGATGTTTAATGAGAAATTAAATATTTCCAAATACTGATCCAAATAGAGACACAAAAAACCATCTTTGCTTTGAAATTTGTAAGTAGAAATTATATGCATTTATGACAGTAAGTTTCTGCCCCTAAGCAGTAACCTGCTATGGTAGAATAATTCTTTTCCTCTTTTTCTGCAACAGGAATTTGCAGGTGAGTGTCAGTGGCTTGATTCAAACCAAGCAGGAGCCAATATCAATCCTAACTTTTCTCAACAGAGGCCAGAAAGTGCACAGCACCCAGTACAGAACACCAAGGAAGACATTCTTCCTTGCTGCAAAGCCCTTATAATGAGAAAAAGAAACATAAACTGATGTATACATGACCATGTGTGATGCATCTTGTTAGTAAGTTCATGCTCATTGACTAAATGCCTTAGCATCCAGATGAGCCAGCTTAATACATGTACTGCCTGAGTTTCCACTACACTCATATTTAAATCTCTCCTAAACCCCTACTTCCTAAGCTTGCACTATTGCCTGCATTCATACGTATTCAGGGCTATATGAGACAGCATGTTCCTGAGGGTCTGATCTGACTAATAATATGTCAATCTGAACAACCCTAATCCCAGCACCATCACCTCAGACTCTCCCCTTTGCCATTTAAAATGCCCATTATCTATTTGCATGGAAAAGGTGAAATCCTGGCTCACTGAAGTCAATTAGGAAAGCTGCCACTGCCTCTGGAGACACAGTGGTGACAGAAAGGATGAGGAATCTTAGCCAGCAAGCCCAGCATACATTAAACACACAAATGATTAAACAACAACCAAACAAACAAACAAGGTCTGACTAAGAGTGCAACAAGAATCAGATCCTATGTATTCACTAAATAAATATATGGGCCAGTGGGGGGATTTTAGTAACAATTACTGTGTATTAACAGCTAGTTTAATTTACATGTTAATTGGACGTACTTCAAAGAGGCAATGAAGAATAATATGCTAATGCGTTTTATGCAGACACCTAAAGGTCAAACAGTTAATGGACTTGGGACCAGAAAACCTTTCATTAAATGCAAATGCTTGTTCTTGGTAACTACAACAAGAAAAGGTACAGAAATAAAATAGAAAACACAAAAAAAGAAGCTCGGGTTCAAAAATCAAAGTCTACATCTATTTGCAAATTGAAAGACAACATACAGTATGACAGGATGTGAAAACAAGTTCAACATCTGACTTGTGAATAAGCCCATGTTTGTACGTTCAATAGTTGGGAACGATTCATGAGGCATAGCCATCTGGACTAACAGTCCCGTGGCACATATAGAGCAATTGGGAAGATCATTTCTTGTTCAAATACTCCAGGCCAACAAAAAAAAAAAATTTCAAAATTTCTCCACTTCTCTACTGTTCAGATATGCAAACTGTGGATTTCAGTGCTATGAAAATGTTATCAACAAAGAAATGAAATATGAAAGCCAGAGAAATCAAACCTCTATCTGTAATATGCCAGAGTAGGTGTCACCTGATGTCTAGAGGAAATGTGGTTAAAGATACAATGTCAGTAAGTGCCCTTCTACATAAAGTTAGTATAATGGTATTTACAGTCAGCTTAATTCATATTTTAGGCATTATTTTCTTCATCAACTAACCCAGATCAATAATTTTATTTTCATTTAAGATCCCTGGAATTATCGTACCAGTAGCAAGTGATTAAACTAGAAAAACCTTTTCTTCAGTGCCTTGAAGGAGAAAAAAAGGGAAACCCAATTCAGAGAAAGCTAAAGCAGGAGAGCTCAACTGAGGAGAAATAGTCTATGAGGTGGTGAAAAGGAGTAGATAACACTGGGAAAATAAACGGTTGGAGTGTGTGGCAGTGGTGCTGGCCATTACTGGCTTAGCCATTCACACAAAAGTAGGGGAGGAAGGAGTGAGAAGTGAGAAGAGCAGAGGAAAAGGGCAGGGAGATAGTGCTGGCTGTTATATCCTGATTGTCCTTTTGTATCCCTGATTCATCCAGAAGAAAGCCTTTTTAGTCTTACAAGATAAGGAAGGGAAAAGGAAAAAGGAACATGAATCTCTTTGAAAAACAGGAAAGACAAAATTTTCTTACCAGCTTCTCAAAGTTAACGAGGTTATCCAGAAAAGTTTTATTTCCTTCATGGATGAATGTTACATCTGGAAAAAAAAAAAAGGGGGGAGAAAGAATCACTTTTCATGGCTTTGTTGTTTAATACAAAGAAATAAAATTAAAAAACAGCAACAAAAAAAAAAGAAAAAAAAAGGAAAGTATCCCGTTAAGGACTGACACAATGTCTTATAACAATGGAACAAAAGCCTGGTATAATGATGACATGAAGAGATTATCAGATAACAACACTATGTACGTATAGCCCCAGCTGGGACTGGACAGTCCCTGAGCCCAGAGCTCCATGGGGGCATAGCTACCAGATGCTGGAGAAGACTCTGACACCCCTTCATGTCTCTCTCTGGGACACAGTGATTCTGAAGTCCTCCCCAGAGACAAAGGGCTACAGCAGCGGCCAGCTGGGGAGGTTAAACACAAGCCACTGAACTGAAGTTCAAAGCTTTGAAATAAGCTTTATAGCTGGGGAAGAAACGCTTTTACATAGTGTTGTAGGAGAGATTTTGCAAAGGCAACAAAAAGGTCAGTGAGAGGAAAAGGTTTATGTTTGGCTCCTGGAAGGGAAATGAACACAGTGTAATGAACTGGGGAGGGCAGGGAGGGGAAGGAATAACAGGCAAAACAAAACAAATGTTGCTAAATTAAGATTATAATTAAAACAGTAGCTTGAGGTCATTTTCTCCACTTAAAACACAAAGTGAGACCTATCTTGGACATGAAGTACCAGGGACATGGATAGACTCCCCATGGGGACTGAAGCTGCTTTGACTTCAGTAATGCATCCTCCTGGTTACTGAAAATACTTGGATACTAGGAGTATCAATACTCAAGTACTACTCCATACTATGAGCATTGCCTCCCATGTCCCTATCAGCTCTCTCCTGGATGTGCAAGTCTCCAGGAGTTCCAGGAGGAGAGAGCACTACTGTAATGCGACAGTACTCTAATACCATTGCTTCTTAAAAGTCACAGCTGTGTCTGCCAGCAGGCAAATGGCACAGAGTAAATAGGAAACATCTCCTTCTTATCAGAGGTGCCACCCTCATCTCTAGGACTCGCTCTGATACCCACTTGGTCCTCCTAGTTTCATGGGACTTTAGAGCACCCCTGCAGCTGATGCTGGGGTTTGCTCTGTAACCCCCCAACCACCTTCATCCTCCCCCATAACAGCCAAACTGCCTTTATTTCCTTTTGTTTCAAAGACTCACTCTGGGTCTGAGGGGCATTTTGTAACTCCTCAGAATGGAAATGTTAATGGCTTCATATGCTGGTGGAAACCAGGGGCTTGCACTCATAAGGCAGAGCTCTGTGAAAGGTGATGGAGAGTTCCTGTGCCCCCAGGGCAGACAGGCTGGGGTCAGCCTCAGGCAGGCAGGATGCCAGCATGGGCACCCCAAGTCCAGCTCCAAGTGGGGCAAGCACTAAGCAGGACAAAAGGAGGAAGTGAGGCCCTCTACAACAACTCTGCTGGGCTGCTTTGAGGCAGCCAGGGAAAGGGACAGAGAAAGGACACAGATTCAGGACACAGGCATTACTTGCCTCTGTATCACTGCAGTTAAAAACTGTCCATCTCTTCTAAGAAAAAACTTACACCAGAAGCAGAAATTTCCGCAGAGCTTTTTAAGTCAGTAACAGCAACGTGTATATCTCTGAGGGTGGAAGGAACAGAAATTTGCTTTGCAGCCACAACTGACAGTCTAGATAAATTCAGTGGAGCAGAAAATTGCATCTGAGCTTGGTTATAAGAGTACATCACAGTACCTTTATTACAAATTTGAAAAATCTGCCTGATTTTCCAAAGCTGTGAGAGAGCTCTGCATTTAAATTTAATTAACTTTAAAAGAACACTCTGAAGTTATTTTTCATAATCAAAGAAAGGCTACTCATGATTTTAAGTTTTTTCTTGAAGCTACTTTTGTTTGTCTTGTGCTGAAATGCAGTAATTTGTTGAGTTAATAATAATTTCTCTGCTACCCATGCTTATTTTATTGGTCTTGGAAATAATACAAATATGCTCGACATGGAATAAAGTCCTAGGTACTATGTGATACTTTGGGAACTACCAATCTTGGCAGTATCTCCTTATGGATCACTGTACTTGTACTGGGTTCAGCAGTAGCAGTCATTTTTTCCCCTTCTTAGTAGCTGGTGCAGTGCTGTGGTTTTTGACTTTCGGCCTGGGAACAGCGCTGGTAACACTGATGTTTTTAGTTACTGCGCAAATGTTTACTCTGACCAAGGACTTTGTGAGCCTCATGCTCTGCCAGGGAGGAGGGGAAGCCAGGAGGAAGCAGAGACAGGACACCTGAGCCAAACTAACCAAAGAGGTATTCCATACCACAGCATGTCATGCCCAGGATGGTACTGAGAGTTACCCTGAAGGGCTAGTGCACTGCTGGGTCGGGCGAGGTATCGATTGAGCTGGGTATCAGCAGGTAGTGAACGGTTGTATTCTCTTCCCTTGTTCTTTCCCTTATCATTATTATTATTGGTGGTAGCAGTAGTGGTTTGTGTTATACCTTACTAAACTTATACTAAACTGTTCTTATCTCAACCCTTCGTGCCCCACATTGGGTGACAAAAAGAACTGTTGTGGTTTAAGTGCAGTCAGTAACTCAGACCCATGCAGCCGTTCGCTCACTCTCGCCCTTCCTCCCCACTCTGCTTCCGGAGGGACCAGGAGGAGAACTGAAAGAATGTCACTCCCACGGGTTGAGAAAAACACAGTGCTGCACCAGCTACTAAGAAGGAATAAAAATGACTGCTACTGCTGAACCCAGGACAGTACTGAAGAAAATTACTGTATTAATTTGCAAAGTCTCCTTGTTATTTCCAATATATTTTAAGAGACTTAAATGCTGCTTATGTGCATGTTTTTATACATCACATTGTACTGTTGTGCAAACAACATTGCTACAAGTTACTTGTTTATGTTTGCTGCCTTTTGTTTGCAGGCAAGACAGCACTTAAAAAATATTGATTTTTAAGCCTTGATAATTGTATCCATCTGAATTAATGCAAACTCCTTTGAAATGTGCAAAGAGGGGAAGTGCCTGATGGCTCCTGAGCTGTCACTGACTGATCTGGAGAACTGTCTTCAAACATTTAAAACTCATAGCAGCAGCAGCAGGCTGGAATAAACAGCCTAAAGAGAACACTTTTGGAATACAGGAATAATCAAATAGATTTGCCATGTTCAAAGACAAGGCAATTAATAATTCATGATTCCAAGACAACAGAATATTTGAAATGCCTGCCATTCAACTAGCTGCCCAGCTCACTGCATTAAACACATAGCTGTGTTTTAATAATTTTGTAAAACTATTTTTTATACTAGTAAGATTTTATTTATCTCTTTCAGACCTATAAAAGACTATAAAAACCCTTGCTCTCAGGGCAAAAAGACACAACAGGTTCTGCCTTCAGGGAGACACAGGGTAGGTTCACCCTGTCGAGGCAGAGCAAGCATCACAGAACAGCAGCATGACTGAGGCTGCTTCCATGGGGTTGCAAGGTCTCGCTTCTCCACTGAAGAGGATGCGGCCAAAGCAATGGCACACTGCTCTATCCACAACTGACAGGAAGATACTGAAAACGTGTGAAAATTGCCATCTTCCCCCTGTATTAGTAAAAGGCAGATGTCTATTATCCAGACCAAGTGCTACCTTGTAGATACCACTACATGTGCCACATGGTTATCATAAGGCCACCTGAAGGAAAGATTACCTTGTGCTTATTTTAATTAACCACAACGAATAAGAGCAGCCAAGCTTTAACATTACCTTTCAGAAGTAAGGGCATGAAGGGGATTTTCGGTGATTTCATTTTCTTGAATGCATCTCTGTAAGCTTTGTGATTCAAAGAAGGGTCCTACAAAACCATTTGGGTAATAGAGAGAAAAATCAATATGCTATAAAAAAAGCAATTCTAAATCCATTAAGGGCTTATGATCTGAACATGTTTTAGATACAAAAGGTTTCTTTGGAAACGAGGTAGATAAAGTGACTAGGTAGGTGACTTACTAAACTGAACAGGAAACATAAACAGTGAAAGGAACAAAAACAATTACATTCCTCTAGATGAAGCAGTGCTAAAATGGGAGTATGCTGTAGAATAGATTCCTGTTCCACAAATTCCTGTTATGTCTTGTGCTTACTATCTAGCACAAAATGTATCTCTGAAAGTATTGCTGATCAATTTTATCTTGGAAAAAAGACAAAACCAACAACAAACATCACCGAACAACAACAAGAAAATCCCAACAAAAAACTGATCTCAGATCAGTAGAGCATATTAGAGATTTTAAAAGAAAGTATGTTTCAGTGGTGTTGTGTAAGTAATTCAAAAAGGCATCTCCATTTCCCGTATAAACAACCATTTTTGTATACAAGCTCACACACAATCTTGAAAACACATTAATTTATAAAAGACTCTTAAGTACAGAAGCATGGACAGCCATTGGAAGGCTAGGTCTCATGTTCCCCGCACCAGGCAGCAATCTCACCAGGCACCCACTGTCATGACAGCCAGAGGAAACACTTGTTTATTCAGCTTTGATAATGCTGACAACGACCCTTAGCCTTGGATTTTGATTTATTTTTTTTTTTCCCAACGTCAGCTGTTCTCCGTTTCTCCTGATCCGCAGCATGTTGCTTCAGATAAAGGCTGATTAACCACCAGAGTAAAAGAACAGCTTCCAAACTGAGGCTGGGGAACCAACACTATATTCGCCTCTCTGCCCTTCTTCCAGCTGTCAGGAATACAGCTTCTTTCTTTTTGTGTGTTTGGAGACCACCTCTGAGCTCTGGAGAGCTGCGTGGCCTTTGGAGGCTGTCTGTTGTCTGGAGCTGCAGCTTGTCACATCAGAGCTGTGATTTGCCAAATAAATCAGGCACAAGGAAGACAGGTAAAGGCAAGCAATGCTGTTCTGCTCCCAACACTGTACTTACTGTCAAACTTTCAAGCTCAGTGAAAAGTTTCTTGAACTTCCCAGGAATTTTCTGAAGTGGGGAAAACAGAGAGGAAAAAAAGGAAAGTTGATTTAGGCAGAAAAATGCTGATGTATTTTTATGCCATGAGATTGCCGTGGTTGAAGTGCCTGCTGAAAGTACCAACAGGCAATTAACCTCCACTCCTCAGTTCCAAGAGCCCTAATTACAGACCATGTTATGTTCAGTGCCAGTGAGGCTACCCCTACAACCTCACCTCAGGTATCTGCATCCTTCTCTCTTGGAAACTGCTTGTTAGCAGCTGTTTTCATTTTCTTCCTTAGCTTCTACGTCTGCTGTGTTTACCTTAATATCCGTATCAAGAGAGAAGCAGTAACACAGGCTGAGAATTCAGATAGTGTGATCACATCCAGGTTAAATTATTTATTGTTATCAATCTTTCCTTAAAACAAGGGTTCTAGAAATTAACAGCCATCACGCTTGGTGCTGTTTGATACACCACCCCCAGTGCTGACCAGCGCTAGTGCTGGCACATGTTTGTGCCAGAGAGAGGTATTTCCTTAACAAACAATTAATCCATCTTCGATATCTCATCCTAATCCTACAGGGAGGGCAGAGAGCACCTTCCAAGAGAGCTCAGACACAAACTACCTTCTTGCCTTATATGCTAACACCTGCTCTACTCCACAGGCATCCGCTTCCTTTATTTCTAAGATGTTTTAATGGATTCACCTCATTGTACTCAAAGCAATTGTTCTTCTCCAACTTGAATTTTGCTGCTGTTATTTCAGATTTGAGGTAGGGTGCATGGACCCTTCAAGCCCATTTTTTTCCAACCATACTAGTTAGTCTAGTAAAAGATATCCCCTATCTTGTTTGTACTTAGACTCCGACAGCCACAGTGACACTTAACTAAGAGAAAAGAGTTTTAGAACAATGAAGATTAAATGGATGTGCTGTACAATTAAAATGCTAAAATAACAGAACATGGAATTGCAATTGCACTTTTTAACATCTTCAATCAGGGAAACTCAGGCTCATTAAAACACTGCATAATATCATGGGAAAAAAAAAAGGTAGAAGAGGGAGTTTGGGAGAATACTACTTGTTTAAGAATTCAGGTGGAGAGCCAATGTAGTTTCCTGTCTAAATGGTTGCTTAAATTTAGGTTGTTTCATTTACAAGTGTAAGTAATTATAATTAATTTATAAACATTGCTCTACTTCCTAGAAGTCACATTACTAATGCAAATAACCTTCTGCTTTTGAAATTTCCAGTGCAATAAAGTTGTGGTTTGGTTTTTTTTTTTAAATGCATGTGTCTTCATAACTATTTTACACACAGAACCATGACATATTTTAAACAATACATATGCATATGCACCCCTTGTTCTGACAAGCAATATATTCTACTCTTTCTGGGAGAGCTCCACCAGCAGCACATGATATCCAGAGGTCTCATCACACAGAAGAGTTCTACATGTTTCTCTGCGGGACAGATCTACACCATTGCCACCAGTTGCCTTTGAGACACTAAAAACCTTCCACTCTCCTACCAAAGCCCAGAGAAATGGGATGAAGGCAACCCGTAAGAGCAGGCAAAGGCAGATGTCCCCCAGAGGGGCATTTTAGAAATAGGAAAGACAAGGGGTTTCTGTATCATTTGTTGTCCTCAGGTGTGTATTTTCTCTAACATTTTTGCTTCACCTGTTATTTAAAGTTCACTCCTCCTTGCCTATCTAAGTCCCTGTAAAATCCTCCCTGCAGAAGCAGTCACTGCCCTTGTTTCTCTGTGTGCCAAAGCCACTGACTTACACAGCTACACAGCAATGTTTCCATATGCATGATTTCAGCTAAGGGGGAAGGCTTTTCCTGGACAGTGGTTAGCAGGTTTTTAAGTCTCTGATGCCATTTGTCTTCAGCTGCTGGTGCTCACGAATATCTCCAAGGCAAGAGATCACAGCCATTCTCTGTCACTTTGTATTACAGATTAGTATTCTTTGAGTATTGCCCACCTGTGGTGTTGGGGACATGGGGGAGGAATAGGGCTTCACCCCATCACACTTAATTGCTCCTTCCCTAATTTTCAGTTCATCAGCAGATATAGCAAGATGGCAGACACTAACACTCAATAATTTACTTGGATAGAAAAAAATTAAATACACAATATAAGCACAGATCCCAGTGGGACCCTCCTCTAAATATCCCATGCTCTGTCTAGGCACCAGTAGCTTCTTCAGCAGATAATGTCTGTGCTCCAGTACGTTCCTTATTCATGGCCCATTTCCTAACTTTGCTGTCAAGATGAGCAGCTGCAAAAATGCTGATAAAGGAGAATTAAAGAGAGTTTATTTCTATTTTCTGGGTTTTGGTCGGTTGGTTGGTTGGTTTAGGTTTAAAATTAAATTATTCCATGATTCCTTTTTTGTAGCCACCTTTATGAGACTTTCTGTTCTGACATCTACTTAAAATGCTAGGATTTTTATTTCATCTTTCAGAGGGTAAGATCTCCTTGCTTTGTTCTTACTTAAAAGCTCTGGAAGGACAGTTTTATTTGAATAACTGCGTATCTGAAGTTTCAGGTCACAATGAAGTTTCTCTGCTAACACTCACTCTGTGTTTGATTTCAGCATGAAAAACCCCAATAATTAGACAGAAAGGGTATTTCACCAGTATACAACCTTTGTGAGAAGTGGTTTTGACAGGGTCTAAAAGATACAAAGATGCATCTTACCTCCCAGGTCAGAGACAGCCGGCTGACAGATGAAGTATTGAGACCCATAACAATAGCGAAGAATGAATTCAGATTTCTTTGGGCTTTACAGCTGTGGAATAAAAATATGAATGTTGTATTCTCATTTTTTGTACTCAGAATTAGAGATCAATGGAAAGCACAGGTATCCTAGGTTACTGAGTCTCATTTCAACCCTCAGCACTAACATACAATCTTCTTCCACATAATGAACTCATTAAATGTCCTCTCATGACCACCTGCAGTCCAGGAGAGGGGGTCTTTAAGAAGTTTTTTAGCAAATGTTCTACTGTCTCATCAACCCTGTTGTTGGCAGTTGGTTTTTTTTCCCTTTGCTGTCAAAAGTAATTTTCCCTTTTCAATGTTCAAGTTACTCTCAGCTATCCTTTACCATACAGAATAATTGACCTCTATTCTGTTGTATTATAAATATTTTCATCCCCTTTTTCATCTTCTCTATAAATTGCACATCATCAGTTCCTTCAATTCTCTCTGTGGTCATGACCTGCAATCTACTTTTCCATATTGTTACTATCTTTCATTGAATTCTTCTAATTTATTTTAACTTTTCTTCCATGTGTTTCCTTCTTACCAAGGAGATGTAGTGAGACAGTGGGGAGAGAAGGAGAAACCTAATTACTGGTTTGGCTCTAAGTTCTCACACCTTTCTTCTGTGCAAGTGTAAAACAAATAGCAAATTATTTATTTGAAACAGCATCACACTTTGTCCTTGCCTTTAATTTGTCATCTACTATCACAAAAGGACCTCTGTTACAGTACTGTTCTTTACCATCATGCATTTATTTCTTCAGCTCAGTATTAGCATTCCCTAGCTGAATTACTTTGCATCTATCTAAATTAAATCTTATCCTACTGTTGTTTGCACATGTCGTTAGACTCCTCAGATCATTCTTTTTTTTTCCTATTATCCACAGCATTTGCAAACCCTCATCACTTCTATTGTCTAAAAATTTGATTAATGTTCAATTCACATATCCCTATAAATCAGTTGCAGTTAGCACTGGTCCCAGTATATGTCCCTACAGAATTTGCTTGATACCTCTATGTTGTGACATTTTACTATATACAATCAGACCCTGGTTATTTCTAGATAATTAGGATATTTGAAATCCTGAAATATTGAGTCCTTTTCAAACAAGATTCCCCTTTTTCTTGCAGGTTCTTGAAGATCACAATAAACATATGTGTGCATCTCTGTGTGAGTGAGAATCCTCTTTGAAGATAATTTTACATACAAACGAATCCACTGCCTTAACTGGGATTTATCAGAGAAAAGCACATGCCAAGGCGTTAGTCTGGAAATTTTCCAGCACTTCTTACAAGTTTTATAACAATTGCACTCATTGCTGTGTACTATCTCGAGACTGTATTTCTCACCTCATTTCAGCTGTCCTAATCATAACGTTGTTGCTCAGACCCCTTCTATCATTCAAGTCAGACAGGTCCCAAATGTAATTAATTTGAAAACAAAAAAGGTGTCCAACACAGCTCAAATAAACTGTCTGTTGGGTGGGCCCATTTCACACAAAGAACTGTAGAGAGAAGGCACGTCTTTTCAAGTCAGCCACTGCTTGGCAAGAGAGAAGGCTGCTGTTATAATCCATTTATTTTAACCCTTCATGACCTGTTTCTGTAACTCCTCAAAATGTTAATTTCTAACAACATGCTGATTTATTTTCTTTATTAAATCACTTGTTTTCTATTTTAGACTAGCTCATCTATGGGAGAGTATGCATCTGTGTTTCACAAACTCCATCTCCCTTTTATGTACTGACACACTTGTGTAAAAGCCTTCATCTTTTTACATATTCTTCAGCAGTAAAGTACACAAACATTCAGCATGAGGTGTTAGTCCTGGTGCTTTCCTGACAAGCTGAGAGTCATAGGCAATAATTCCTGGCCAAATCTGGAAGCAGAGAACAGGAAGCAGCGAGAGCTGCTCACAGCTCCCTACCTCTCTGCCTTAGTCAAAACCAAAATAGCAGGGCTTCTTAGCTTGTGCCTCATGATGACAGTCCTGTGCTAAGCACACCTTCCTTCTACTCTAATTGTTCCTCTTCTATCAGCTCTTCCAGAATTGGTAAAATATGATAATGTCTTCTTTTAGAAAGCTGCTTTTCTGATTACAAAAGATCCCAAGCAAACCACATACCCACTTATTTGTGTATTGATTATTTCATCATCTATAGGCTACAATGATGCAATGCATTGGGAAAGCCAGTCTGCTGTTTATTGACAACTGTATTTAGTCTCCATAGCTTTGGCTTTTCACTTAACAGAGATGGGATTCAAATAAAGCCACATTTTAGCCTGGTAACGAATATATCTCTATTCATGTGGAATAGACATGAAGCTTTTCCTGGAATGCAAATTAATGCTACTGTGGTGCAAGCAAGACACACAGAACTAACCAATGTTGACGTAATTTGACCAAACTTGTCCATTGATAAGGCAGAAAATGAACCATATGGATACCATACAACTTGCAATCTAAATCAAATCACATTTATGAGTTACACTAGATTAGATTAGAAGAATTCATTTCACCAAAGGCACTGCTTCAGCAGAGAACACTCTTTTGTATGTAACTGCCTTGCAAATTAAATCAATTCAGTCGATGAAGAGAACAAATTATACATTTTCCATGAACATGCACATTCAAATATTGCAGAAGACTTACAAGTGGAAAGAGAGGCAAGGAGAATGGTTGCACATATTTAAACTGCTCCATTTCCCTGGTTACTAAAATAAGAGTGATTACAGAGAAAAGAACTCTCTGTGTATAGTATATATTTTTATTCTGTTCCAAGGCATAGAAGAAATGCCAACATTATTTAGTAGCAGCACAAGAATATACTATCAAACTTAATTAATAAAGACCCTCACCTCCAATAAATTAATGAGTAGTCCAGAGAAGACTGCATAGGGCAACAGCTTATTGTAGCTAGTTTCCTCTAACAGAATATTTTTGGTTTCCATGTAGTCTTTGGTGAATAACAGTGTTGCTGCTCAAATAGTTATGTAACATGGTCCTCAGGTTATCTCTGCTAAGAAAGAAGGTATCTGCACCACCAGGGATTTTGCAGTTGATCCTGCAGATACAGTGGCTAAGTTGCTGGGGAAGACTTAAGCAGCATATATTCTGCCATGTCTAGTTTTGGCCAGTATTTGTTGTTTATGGACTGTTTTATCTAGGTGTGCTTACAACACTATTAAAACACAAGGTGACAAATCAGTTTGCTTTCTTTGCTTTTGCACCTACTCCCACCAAACAAAGGACGTGAATTCAAGGATTTTTGTTGCTTTGCAATGTTAGCAACTTACTGGGCAGCAATCTTGATGAACTTTTTGACTAGCTGTACACGTTTGCAGAGCTGGCTGCAGAGGAGTATCTCAGTGGCAACCCAAAGCTGGACCTCGTTGCATCTTTGAAGCAGAAGACTGAGATTCTCAGTGTTTTCAGTACTGCCCTGTCTGCTGAATGTGAAGTATATCAGCTCTTGCTGGAAGACATTGACAACATTATTATGGATATAAAAATAATTAAATGTAAATTAATTACAAATTATTTAGAACTGTGTTTTTGAAACAAGACTTGGGTATAAATGGTGATCAAGGAAAGCATATGATGAGAAGCAAGGGAATTTCCCCTTCATTTTCTCAGAAAGACAATATGCTTTTCAGTGAATGGTATTTTTAAGTGACATGTACACCTATTTGTGGAGTCCTATATTTACTGGAACATTATCCAGTGCAAAAGACAATTGGCATATACAACATATTCATACAGGCCAGTTTTAGAAAATAACCATGCTCTTCTACTCTCTTTAGGCAAATCTCAATAAAATCCACCAGATACACAGGGAACATAAGAGTTGCCCCAGTACAGGGAAGTTACAAACTTTTCACAGTTTTTTTCCTTTTCAGTGTCATGGATTGCAACACATCTCTTGGACCTGACTCAATACCACCACTGAGAGCTGCCAAATCATTCTGTCATGATGGTGAACTGAACATCAAGGAATACCAGTGCTCTAAAATGCACCACAATGCTGCATGACCGTAACATACCTGGAGGCATTTCTTACCTCATGAATTGCATTGAAGAGGCTCCAGTCAAAGTTTGTTAGTTCTAAGGCAAGATCCCAGGTGTTGATTCCCAAAATTCTTACAGACCTTTGCTGCAATTCCTCATTTTCACCAAATGGGTGCTAAATCAAGAGCAAAGAATCCTTAGCAGATTCTAAAAGTTCTGCAGTGAAAGAGCTACAGGACCAAGGTACAAAACAGAGCTGAGTAAGTAATCTTCTCTAAGTGCACTCTGAGGGATTTTCCCCAAACTAATCAAAATCAAGAGTTACAGCCTATTTAATAAATAGCTTGAAACAGAAAATGGGTCAATAGGATCAATGATTTGCTAGTGGATTAGGCCTTCTCCCTCCCTCTCTAAACCTGACCAAGCAGCCAGCATAACGAAAATCAAATCCCCAAAACATTCAGAAAACAAAATCTGAATTAAGACACCAGAAAATTTTTGTATTGTAAGATAAAGGAATCATTCTGCAAACACACTGGATTTAGAATAAATACACATAACTTGCCTGCCAATCCACCTTTACAAATAACATAAATACATACATTTTATGATTAATCTTCTCCAAATATAATCACCAAACAGTAAAGTACTGTGGGTCCAGATTCATTAAAGTTACTTAGCATATTACTGTGAAATGCACTGGCACTCCCGGTGTTAAGGATCATTTGACATTTCCTTTATTTTCTTGGATTTTCAAAAGTTTGCATTTCTCTTGCATTTCTTTTTTTTTACCTTGTTAGGCTGAAACTTGGCACATGAACCATCTGCCACGATAAAAGATTACTCTTACCAGTTAAGCCATTACTTTGATGCTGTATGTCTGACAGTTACAAGTTTTGTGAATTTTATTATGTAACTAATGAAACTAGATTGGCTGTCACCCATCTGTGCTGGAAACCTTCCCTTGATATCCTCATTTTTGGAGGTGGCTAGAATGCCGGAGGTAATGAGGATGACAGATTACAATGATAGCAGCATGTCAGCTCTTCAGTGCACATTGATCCAACAAAATGTAAATAGACATTTCTCATCCCTAGGATAAATGCACATAATCTTGGTGGTAGTGACAACACAGAAGTCAGCTGCAATACCATCCCTGCACTTTCCTTGGAACATCTGCATAACTAGCAGAAAACTATTGAAAGAGTAATTGTTTGAGTGCCTGACTGCTCCTGCCTCACTGAGGTTTTGGGAAATCATGGTCAGAGAGAATATGCAATCCTGGTTTCTGAGGACAGAGAGAATGAGAGAGACCTGCTCCCTTCAATCTGCTCTCCTCCCCAGCACCAGCGGGAGGATGGGAAGACAATACAGACAGAAGGAAGGGAAGAGGACATACCACCAGTGATACATGCCAGCCACAGACTGCCCATGTGGCTGCCACAGCACTGGGGTTGCACTGATGTCCAGTAATTTTGGTAGAACTCACACAACAACCATATTTACAAATAGCAATTCCATGGAGTTTGTCCATCACCTTGTATGATTATGTACTGGCCACTTTAAGTGTTATAAAGGCACAAGGGAGACTTGGGGGGGAGGGGAGGTAGGAAAGAAAGAAAAAAAACTCACACAGGCCCTGAATAACCCTCATCCCATCCATTTCTGCACAAACACAAGTCAGCTTTTCCAGGCTGATGTAGATTGAAAGATTTAAGCCGTACAGAATCTTTGGTCTACATGAAATTGGTAAACAAATTCCATTACTGTTCAATCAAATAAGTGCTGTTAATGCATGATACTTTTTATAGAGCAGCTCACTAAGCTTTACTAAGGAAGCAAAAAATAAATTCTGCATTGAAAAAGCCCTCTTGAGTTAGACAAATAAAAATTGGGAGGTAAACAATACAGATTCTTACCAAAGAATCAGTCAGATCTTTCCGGTACACAAACATACGACTGGATGAATCCAAAGATTTTGAGATAGCCAAGTCATTTGGCTGTAGCTCATGTTTTTCTGTAAAAACAGAAAACAAAACACAAAAGCTACAGACAAGGTGTAAAAGCTGTATATAAATATGAGAAAAACATTACAAATGTATCTGTGCAGCCACATCAAGTTCTTAAAATGTAACTACGCATCAGATCCACTCCCTGTGGAGACCATTATCTCCACACTATTTCAGGCACAATAAAGGAAAGATGTCTCTGATGCTGGACTAGAGCACAAAACCTTCCAGCATCTGCTTTCAAAGTGTACTTCATATCGGATAGAAGAGAAAGAAACCCTTGAACCCCCATTCTAACCTCCTATACATTACAGAACATTCAATTTCAACCCAGTGTAGCTACTGTACATGTACAGACTTTTGTCGGAACAAACTGTTTCGGCCTCCAGAGACTGAGCTGTTTAGCAGAAAAGAGCAGGAGTGAAGATGTAGCTACAGTCATTCGACGGGAAAAGAAGTTTGAAGGATCTCAGCGCCATGAAACTCATCCCACAGAACAGGGCTGAAGAGTCCTTTACAGTACAGTATTTACAAAACAAAAGCAAAGAGAAAAGACTCTTCCACTTCAGAGTAGTGGTTCAGTTCTGGGCAATCTTGGATGCACCAGAGAAAGGTGTTGGGAAAAATAAAGCAAAAAAGTAAAGCAGAACACAGCTAAAATCTGCCCTAGGAAAACTGCCTCTTCCTGCAGGCTCCAATACCTGACACATGAGGTTTGATTACAGTGACTGTATTATGGAGACCCAAAATCACTACAGTCATGTTGACAGCTACCTTGGACTTCACATTGCCCATGACAGAGGAGTAGGACCAGGAAGGGTCTGAGAGCCAAACATCATTTCAGACTGTTTTGCCTCTTATCCATGTTCACACTGACACCAGATACATTTATGCTGAACTACCAGTATGCTTTTTCAAGGTAATTTTGAACAAAAAGAGCTTGCTTGTTCATTTCAGGAGTACAATAAAAATGTATTCTCCAGTGCTCACACTGCTGCCCTCCAAGTGGATGGCAGATGACAGTTCTGAGTCATGCAAACACAACAAAAATACCAAGGAAAAAAAGAGAAAAGCATGGCAGGCTCATGTATTATCGCTTGCAGCACAGGACTGACAATGCTAAGAACAAAGATACCAAAATTGTGTTATCTCAAATTAATTCAGGCAACATGACTAGCATTTTAAGGGTTACAGTGCTCATGAACAAATGACAATCCTATTGTACCTCTATTTTAACAATTATTTCTTATTGAACAGCCACATGGCAACCACTTCTATTCTGTAGCTTTCTTGGGAATCAGTGTGGTCTAAAGATAATAGTGTGTTTCATTATTTATGAACTGTTGGTTTTCTTTAGCTAAGTAGGCAGTTAGCACCAGATTTATTGCTATCAGAGCAAAACTTGCTCTGCTCTTGAACAGGAGCACAAGACCTGAAAAACAACAGCAGCCCAGTGATTTTGCAGTGCTGTAAAATGCACTGGAATGGGCACACACAAAGGTAAAATGGGTATGTCTGTAAAAGATTATTGCTCAGCTGGCCAGGACATCTACATGTAATGCTCCTCTGTGACTGCTCCGTGCCCAGCCTTTCCATAGCCAGAGTAGGGCACCATTTTTCAGCCACCCACACTGATGCCCTGTAAAAAAATGGTTATTTAACTGAGCTCAGTGTAGGGGAGAAAAATGTGACCTTCCACTTCTGAATCAAATAAATACACAGTACAATCCAGCATTTGTGTATAGTTAATTTAACTAGACTGACTAAGAAGTAGCGAAGGTGCATCTTTTGCCCCAGGGGATTGACACCATTATCTGAGAACACAGCCAAGTATTCTACACTCTTAGTCCCTTTTTGTAGATTCAGCTTCTCATTTCTATGTGCCTAGTTAAATTGCTTTCTTTATATACTCTAAGAGCCAAAAGATACCACAATGAGCAAAACAATTTCAAAGAGCTTGAGACCTGCCAGACCCCAAGGAAATGCCTGGGGGTTTGGCTGGTCCTTAGTATCAGCCTACAGTCAGTCTGGTTTTCCTTAAAAAAGACAATAAGCTTTTCTGTTCAATGAGAAGCACTAAAATAATAAGCAAAAAATGCCAGTTGTAAGCAAAACTGCTTACAAAATATTGCTTAGATTGCTCTTGGTATCTCAGCCGTGCAAATACATGTCTCCCTCCTTTCTGCTAGGAATATTCATTACTCACGTTGTAAATGAGTAAACAGACACACATATAGTATTTGCTATTCCCTTTTGCATTTTTAAAGCAAACCATGCCTCATTGCCTTCCAAATTAATTTAAATATGAAAGTAGGAGATTTATCTGTGGGGAACAAATAAAATCTTGCAATACTGCTGGAGATTGAAAGTCTGCACTCCTTTCTGAGCAAGGGGATGCCGTATCCAATGGTACCAAAGAATAAGCTGTTGCCATGGAAACGACTCTCTGGGAAGCAGCTCCTCATTGTTCCTGTGGTCACCCAGCTGTGGGCCTGCACAGGAACAGCTGTATTCTTGCACCAGAAAGTGTCACCCCTCCCCTACATGATGCACTAAAAGGTAAGTAATCAGATGAAGGGGGGTTATTTACCACCAGAGAATGTGACTGTCACCAGCACCAGCTCTTCCTCCACGTACTGGATCTTTTCTGCTACAATCTTCAGTATGTCTAGAGCTGAAGTGGATACTTGAGCTTTCACACTGACATAGGAGTGTTCTGTTATATACACACGGCAGAAAACTGCAAAAAGGAAGAAAGACACATTCAGCATTAGACAGAGATATCTGACAGAGCAGGGAGAATCTCGCAGACCAAACCCTGGCAATGCCTTGGCTGCCTGGCTACTGCAGCTCCTCGCCCTGGGAAATGCAAGTAAATGGAAATGGAGATCCCACCATGAGGATCTATTATGGACACCCTGCTCTACTGCCTATCATCTTTCCAAACCCAGCTGTTGCCATATTTTCTCCCTTCCTTTTAGGTTCAGATAAATCACCATCCTTTCAATACATTTCATATCCGCTGCAGAAATTATTTTGGACCTCCACTTCCACCTGGAACAAGAGGCTTCACAAGAACCACTCTCCCTGATTTTCAACCTCCCCAATCTTCAACTGCTCCTGCTACCTTATCTGGCTAGCCGTCTAAACTACTTTCATTGCCAGTGTATTTTAGCACCAGTAGAGGCTGCCCAAATAGCAATGCAATTAGTTTTGACAACTCTTTCCATGAATCACTTGCAGCACATATAAAAGAAACCGATTTGAAGAAATTCTCTGGGTTCATCACTTCCACTGAAGAGCATGAGTAGGTTAGGCTCTCTGGAAGGAAGATTCCCAGCAGCAATGCTGTGGTCAGCTCAGCTAGTCCTTGTTTCTGTTACAAAAAGGATGTACGCGCTCTCTGCTTGCCAGAATTTTGTGTTTACACCTTTTACTGAGTTTGCTGTAGCCAGTTCTTTGAAATACAGCTGCCATAATGTCCCGGGTTCAGCAGTAGCAGTTATTTTTTCTCCTTCTTAGTAGCTGCTGCAGTGCTGTGGTTTTGACTTTGTTAAGCAGTTAAACAGAGTCAGGTTTGGGTTATCTGAGGTTAGATGATGATATAGGAGGACCAAGAGATTTTCCCCAAGGCTGGACAGTCATGAGTGGCAGGGTGTGTGGGACAGTATGGGCCAGTATCTAGGCCACTGGGCCCCTCCAGTGCTTTGGAAGCGTTGGAGATGGAAGGCAGCTGTATGGAGTCCCCAACGACAAGTTGCAGAAACTGCTGAAAGGGAGGGTGAATTATTTTGAGCCTGGTGGGCCCGTGACACTTCAGGCCACCAGGGCAGAGATACAACATAAAGATGGACTCATGATCGAGGGGTGGACTTAGCAATGGACACTACTGCCCAGGTTATTCGTGAGGATGAGCACTGCACACAGCCTCTCCTGCTCTGAAAGACTGTTACAAAAGATGGAACCTGACATCATGGGCCGAATGGACTCAGCAGCTTTACAGAGATTGGTCCATGCACTAAGGAATGATACCTGTGTGTATGTGTATGTGTGTGGATGTATATATATATATATATGTATATACGTAAGAGCAATGGTATATTGAAAATGTGGCATCTGAGCATGACGTGAATGGTATGGAATAAGGGGTGAATACTGTGCTGGGTTCAGCAGTAGCAGTTATTTTTTTCTCCTTCTTAGTAGCTGGTGCAGCGCTGTGGTTTTGACTTTTGGCATGGGAACAGCACTGACAATACCCATGTTTTTAGTTACTGCTCAAATGTTTAGTCTGACCAAGGACTTTCTGAATCTCATGCTCTGCCAGGGAGGAGGGGAAGCCAGGAGGAAGCAGAGACAGGAAACTTGTCCCAGACTAGCCAAAGAGGTATTCCATACCACAGCACGTCATGCCCCATATATAAACTGGGGGCAGTTACCCAGAAGGGCTAGCTCTCTGCTCAGGTCGGGCGAGCTATCGGTTGGGTTGGGTATCAGCAGGTGGTGAGTGGTTGTATTCTCTTCCCTTGTTATTTCCCTTATCATTATTATTATTGGTGGCAGCAGTAGTGGTTTGTGTTATACCTTAGTTACTGGACTGTTCTTATCTCAACCCGTGGAAGTTATATTCTTTTGATTCTCCTCCCCATCCCTCCGTGAGCTGGGGGAGGGAAAAAGGCCGGGGGGGAATGAGAGAGAGACTATGTGGCTGACTGGGTTTAAACCATGACACATAATTAAAAGGGAAGAAACAGGGCTGCAGACTTGCATAAATATTTCAATGATTATACCTGATAATAAGAATTGCCAGAACTTTTGATTTCATACTTACTTAAGTGCTTAATTAAACTTTAAATTTCTTTCTACTCTAGCACTTCTTACTGCAATAAAGCTGCTACCATACAGGTATAAGACAAAACTTCTCTTGTCCAAAAGTGCTGGGTTTTAATTTATTTTTATTGACAGATGTATGTAGTTCTGTGCTTGTCCTACAAATCTTCATGGCTTCAGGGCACTTTCATTAATGGAGACCATGCAAGAAGCAGTTAAAAACTCTATTCTCAAGAATATCTTTCTTTTTTTGTATTGTAGTAAAGAAGAAATGCAGATGATAAGGAAGAAAGAACTTAACATATGGCCTTGGGGAAGAAAAGTAATTTGATTTTATAATGTTTTCTTAACCTGCCTCTGCTGACAGACAGTAAATCAGATGCTCATCCTATGGCAGATTCTCTCTTCAGAATGGTTATAACTCATGAAAAGAGAGAGACATCAAACTGCACACTAAATTATTAGGTAGAAAAACAAATTTTAAGAACACTGACAGAATGTCCTGGGTTCAGCAGTAGCAGTCATGTTTCTCCTTCTTGGTAGCTGGTGCAGTGCAGTGTTTTGACTTTCGGCCTGGGAACAGAGCTGATAACAAGGATGGCTTGGCCAAGGACTTTGTGAGCCTCATGCTCTGTCAGGGAGGAGGGGAAGACAGGAGGAAGCAGAGACAGGACACCTGACCCAAACTGACCAAAGAGGTATTCCATACCACAGCACGTCATGCCCAGGAAGTAACTGGGAGTTAGCCGGAAGGGCTGGGAGACTGCAGGGTTGGAGGAGGTATGGGTCAGTGCTTGGTCAGGCTTGGGGGGTGAGTTATCGGTTGGCTGGCGGTGAGGTGTTGTATTCTCTTCCCTTGTTATTTCCTTTATCATTATTATCACAGTATCACAGTATCACAGTATGTTAGAGATTGGAAGGGACCTCGAAAGATCATCTAGTCCAATCCCCCTGCCGGAGCAGGAACACCTAGATAATGTTACACAGGAATGCGTCCAGGCGGGTTTTGAATGTCTCCAGGGAAGGAGACTCCACAACCTCCCTGGGCAGCCTGTTCCAGTGTTCCGTCACCCTCACTGAGAAGAAGTTTCTTCTCAAGTTTAAGTGGAACCTCTTGTGTTCCAGTTTGTACCCATTACCCCTTGTCCTATCATTGTTTGCCACTGAGTAGAGCCTGGCTCCGTCCTCGTGACACTCCCCCTTTATATATTTATAGACACTGATAAGGTCACCCCTCAGTCTCCTCTTCTCCAAACTATAGAGACCCAGCTCCCTCAGTCTTTCCTCATAAGGGAGATGCTCCACTCCCTTAATCATCTTCGCTGCCCTGCGCTGGACTCTCTCCAGCAGCTCCCTGTCCTTCTTGAACTGAGGGGCCCAGAACTGGACACAATACTCCAGATGCGGTCTCACCAGGGCAGAGTAGAGGGGAAGGAGGACCTCTCTCGACCTACTAACCACCGCCCTTCTAATACACCCCAGGATGCCATTGGCCTTCTTAGCCACAAGGGCACAGTGTTGGCTCATGGTCATCCTGTCGTCCACTAGGACCCCCAGGTCCCTCTCCCCTACACTGCTCTCTAACAGGTCGTTCCCCAACCTATACTGGAACCTGGGGTTGTTCCTGCCCAGATGCAGGACTCTACACTTTCCCTTGTTATATTTCATCAAGTTACTCCCTGCCCAACTCTCCAGCCTATCCAGGTCTCGCTGGATGGCAGCACAGCCTTCTGGCGTGTCAGCCACTCCTCCCAGCTTAGTGTCATCAGCAAACTTGCTGATAGTACACTCAATTCCCTCATCTAAATCATTGATGAATATATTAAATAATACCGGTCCCAGTACTGACCCTTGAGGCACTCCACTAGTTACAGGCCTCCAACTAGACTCAGCCCCATAGACTACAACTCTCTGGCTTCTCTCCTTCAGCCAGTTCGCAGTCCACCTCACTACCTGATCATCCAGTCCACACTTCCTCATTTTAGCCGTGAGGATGCTGTGGGAGACTGTGTCAAATGCTTTGCTGAAGTCAAGGTAGACCACATCCACCGCTCTGCCATCATCCATCCACCGTGTTATTTCCTCATAAAAGGCTAAGAGATTGGTCAAACATGATTTCCCCCTGGTGAAGCCATGTTGACTGCCCCTCATAACCTTCTTATCCTTGATATGCCTTAAGATGGTACCAAGGATAAGGTGTTCCATCACTTTCCCAGGGATGGAGGTGAGGCTGACCGGTCTATAGTTACCCGGGTCCTCCTTCTTGCCCTTTTTGAAGACTGGAGTGACATTTGCTTTCCTCCAGTCCTCAGGCACCTCTCCCGTTTCCCAAGACTTGGTAAAGATGATGGAGAGTGGTCTAGCAATGAGTTCCGCCAGTTCCCTCAGCACCCGCGGGTGCATCCCATCTGGACCCATGGATTTATGGATGTCCAGATTGCTCAACTGGTCTCTAACCCATTCCTCATCGACTAAGGCAAACCGCTCCGTCGACCTGACTTCATCTAAGGTCTCAGGGGTACAGGGCTCTTCAGGACTGCCCGCAGCAGAGTAGACAGAGACAAAGAAGGCATTCAGTAATTCTGCCATCTCTTTATCTTCTGTCACCAGGGCACCCATCCCGTTCATCAGTGGGCCTACATTGCCTCTGGTGTTAGTTTTGTCTGCCATGTATTTAAAAAAGCTCTTTTTGCTGTCCTTGACCCTTCTTGCCAGGTTTAATTCTAAGGATGCCTTAGTCCTCCTAGCTGCCTTCCTACATCCTCTAGCAGCAGCCTTATATTCCTCCCAAGTGGCCAGCCCCTCCTTCCATGACCTGTAAACTCTCCTCTTCCACTTGAGCATACCCAGCAATTCCCTGTTTAGCCACGCAGGTCTCTTGGCCCTCTTCCTTGACTTCCTACGTGTCGGGATGCTCCGATCTTGAGCACGGAAAAAGCAGTCCTTGAATGTCAACCAACTATCTTGGGTCCCTTTACCTTCAAGCAGCCCTGCCCATGGGATTTCCCCTAGCAATTGCTTGAAAAGGCCAAAGTTTGCCCTGCTAAAGTCCAGGGTTGCAATTCTACTTGGTATTCTACTAGTCCTACGACACAAGATCCTGAACTCCACCATCTCGTGGTCGCTGCAACCAAGGCAGCCCTCAACCCTTACTGCTTCAACCAGATCCTCCTTGTTAGTGAGGATGAGATCCAGCAGCGCTCCTCTCCTGGTCGGCTCATCCACCATTTGCAGGAGGAAGTTATCATCCATACACTGGAGGAACCTCCTGGACTGTGGCTGGGTTGCCGAGTGGTCCTTCCAGCAAACATCAGGGAAGTTAAAATCCCCCACGACGACCACGGCCTGTGACTGTGAGGCCGCTCTCAGCTGCCTGTAGAAGGCCTCGTCAACTTCCTCACCCTGATCCGGTGGTCTGTAACAGACACCTACAACAGTATCCCCCGTGCCAGCCTGCCCCTTAGTTCTCACCCACAGACTCTCAACTTGCTCATCATCTGTCCCTGGACAGAACTCGGTGCACTGTAGTTCCTCCCGCACATAAAGAGCAACCCCACCACCCCGCCTGGCTGGCCTGTCTTTCCTGAAAAGGACATAGCCTTCCATGACTATATTCCAGTCATGTGAGCTGTCCCACCACGTCTCTGTAATTGCCACCAGATCATAATCTCCTGACTTAACACAGGTTTCCAACTCCTCCTGCTTATTTCCCATGCTGCGCGCATTGGTGTACAGGCATTTCAGGGAGCGAGCTGAGCACACCGATTTCACCCTAGGATTGTAGGAGGCCTCCCAGTCTTCATTAATTCTGGAGTGCTGCCCCACTGGGACAAGCCCAGCTACAACCCCATCCCCCTTCGAATCTAGTTTAAAGCTCTCCAAATGAGCCCTGCTAATTCGTGCCCCAGCATCCTTTTCCCTCTGTGAGACAAACCTTTCTCACTTGTCATTGTCCAGACTGGTGCCCTATAAAACCAGCCGTTATCAAAGAATCCAAAGCCCTGCCTGTAGCACCAGTCTCGAAGCCAATTGTTCATGAACTGAATCTTCCCATTCCTTCCCACATCAGTGGAAGATGGAAGGAGAGAGGAGAAGATCACTTGAGCCCCAGACTCTTTCACCATCTGCCCCAAGGCCCTGTAGTCTTTCTTCATCCCCCTCAGATTGCGGGAAGCAGCTTCCTCCCCACCTGTCTGGAAGACCAGCAGCGGGTAATAGTCTGTCGGGTGCACCAGGTGATAGCAGTAGTGATTTGTGTTATACCTTAGTTACTAAACTGTTCTTATCTCAACCCATGGGAGTTGCATTCTTTTTGACTCTCCGTCCCTCCGGGAGCAGGGGGAGGGCAAGAAGTGGGGGGAAGTGAGTGAACGAATTGCCTGACTGGGTTTAAACCACGACACAGGAATATTCAGACTCCATGTTCAGTGCGCAACACAACTTGCTTACAGTGAGTTTGAAATCTCATCCTCTCTGTCATTTATGAGGGAATGATGGCAGCAATGTTCCTTTATATCCTTTGTTTAACATGGATATTTAACAACTGGATGCGCTGCCAACACTCTTGGGGAGCACACAGTTCAACTATAGGACTGCTGGAACAACCAGACAGGACAAAACCCCCTTGAGATACCACATCATTGTCAAACCCCTGCAGAGTAAGAAGCAGGAAGCTAACTCTACACAGTCAAATCTTCTTCTGTAGCCTTAAGGTGCTGTTCAGAAGTTGCATGGAAGTTAAAGAAAAAAAAAATTACATTATGGGCAGCCCTTGAGAAACAATTTCCCAGTTTTGGAGTTTTTTCTCCACTCTTTCAATCATACTTACTTTCTTCTGTTTCATTCATGGTTCCCCTGTGCTGCAGCCAGTTCTCCTTTAGACTGAACTGGTGGAAAAAGGTTTTATTCTGTAAGGGAGTGGAAGAGAGAAAAAAAAAAAAGAGAGACAACACTGACTCTTTGCATCCCTGCCCTTTACAATTCACAGAACACAGTATTCAGCCTATATGTCTGGCCTAAAAGGTTTCTGTATAGGAAATCCACACACCCTTTTTTGGATCAGTAAACTAGGAGTTGCCTTACTAAATAATGGCCAAGGTGGGATTTTGTTTTGGAGGAAGCAGGACACGCCAAGCCTAAGCAGCAGGCATAATTCAAGGCTCTCTGTAGTCATGTTCAAAGCCCATTTCTTATATACACTTACATACATTTTCTATGTACCAATCAGCCTATTTAGCAATTTCACTACAATCTCATGTTCTGCCTTCCACATTTCCGTAGCAACATTTTAAGCTTATTATACACTTCAGCTTCAGCCCTGTAAATTTTATGAGCACAGCAATTCACTTCTGTGCAGTTTGTACACCAGCTTTCTCCTTCTGCATTTTCTCCCTCCAGTTAAATAGACAGATTTATGTTCCGCTCTTTCTTTCTCTTTCTCTGTCACAACAAATCCCCCCTTTGCTCTGTCTACTTGATATCCATGTCAATGCCTATGCTCAGCCTGGTTTGTCCAGATTACTACATCTCTCCAGCCCAGTGGGGAACTCACTCGCAGGCCTCCCCTGAATTCTGACATCTCCGAGCATCATGTTAAGATGCTAAACTGTCATAGGTTAGCTCATATAGCTGATATTCAGGCTCCAATGGCAGAAAATAAACATTCCTTATGTAATATTGAGGGTCTAACCTCACTGATGTATCCTGTCATATTTTTGGCCACCTGTCATTTTCAGTGGAGAAGCCAAGAAAAGAGAGGGAAGTGGACAGAGGGGAAGAAAGTGCGATAGTAAGTTATCTTTCAACCAGCAACAATCAGGTTTGCATTACCTTTCGGTGAGGTGAATACTCATCTACAGTGCTGAAACAAAAAGGAAAACCCAGATTATTCTCTCCAGCCAAAGCCTAGGAAAATTAAGTTTTAGCTGTTATAAAGTTTACATCAGAAAGCTTTTATTATTAAATAGTCACCACAGACTGGCTGCAGAGCTCCTTCAGGGAAAATTAAGGGTGTATGGCCTAGCCGGAAAACTTTTCTGTGACTTGCACAATGGATGTAGTGAAGAACAACGCTGCCAGCCTGTGAGCTGCTGGAGAACATGGGCGCAGCTCAGGGCCCTGGGGTAAGCAATCAGGGTCACCCTCAGGGACATGGCTCTTTCCACTTCCCCAGTGCCAAACCATGGAAATCAACTCCATTTGTCTGCAAAAATTGCCAAGGAAATATATTTTACAAACCCCACCACTGTTAGTAAAATAATAACCCCAAGATGACTACTGCAAGAGATTTGCTTCTCAGTACCACAGACTGCAGAGAGAAAATGAGAATTAAGGTACCATCTGAAGTCACAGACTCAGCTTCTGAGGGAAATTTTGCCATCTTTTGCTCAAAATATCACTCTACTTGCAAGTCATCACAACCAAAACAGATAGAAGTGACTGTTGAAACACACACCACTCAACAAACTTCAGAGAAGATTGAATAATCTAGCTTTAGTTTAAAGAAGAGATTGTTTGTAAAAATGAATATAGTACTAGTTTTACTGAATTATAGCAAGATGACAACAAAAATAAGTTACACTCTAAGGAGACTTGATCACAAATATAATCAATACTCACTGCCGACGATGCACCCCCAGAATCTTCTGGAATTCTTTCAGGTCCTTCTCAAGAACTGGATATTCATACACATCATCTAACACATTCCTGTATATTGTCTACAAAATAAAACAGTATCTGTAAACATCTGATAATTCAAACATAAATCTAAGGCACCACATCAGCAGTATAAACCAATTCAGTCACTAGCTTGCTAAAGCTAATTTCATCACTATATTTAGGCAAGGGCTATAAGGACAGAATGTTCCTGTTAAAACTTCTAGACTGATCCATATTCAGCTTGCCTTTGGAGAAACAATCTTTATAAGATCATCAAGCAAGAAGGCAAAATGTTAACATTTTTGACTACACACACAAAGATTTAAAACAACACTTGTGGCTGTTACAGGAAATCTAGGTTAGGTCAGAAGAAAACATTCTGAAGCTTGAGAACAGACCACACCATGATCACCTATCCAAAATTATAACAAACAGGTTAATTTTATTACGACTTTTAAAATGGAGAATTTTCTCATTCACTTTTCTTCATGTTTGCATGCATTTTAAATTTAGTGATATCTCTCAGAAACAACTATCAATATAATCCTCATTGTAAGCTATTAAATAAATAAATAAACCCTACTTATTTTAGGGGGAGGCATTGTCTGAATGCCATCAATCAGGAACCTCATTCAAACATGAAACGCACTACCTCAGACAAAAGGTAAATAAATAAGTTTTTATGATTGAAATTGTAGGAAGTATTGTCTCTATACTTTTTCAGAATCTGTGCATAGATCCTTCTCCTTCCCTTCCAAGAAAATGAGGATCATATGTATGAGCTGAATCATCAGTTTTTTTTGGTCCAATTAACATGCTTACATTCATAAAGTTCAGCATGAACAATTCTGGCTTACAATCCTACATATTGTTTTTGCACGTCTAACTTCAACTATCATTAACATTACTGCTGCTAAATATTGCACAGAAGCCTCAAGCAGAGAAACTGCGTGACAATACACATGGCCAGAAAAGACAAGCCCCATAACCTTAACTGATGGCTGGAATGATGTCCACTTTCCAGTATAACACTAGTGCCAAATAGCAAAATGGATTTTTGCTTCCATATACAGTGTGTCCTACTCCAAAACCAAAACAATACCTAAAAAAATGAAGCTCAAGACTTTCTCCAAATTCAGTTCAATATTTCATCCCTTTGTCTTGAGTGAAAGATTGAAAAGAACAGTTTCAGACAAAGAATCTCATTGGGAAAGGTGGAAGACCCTGCATAGTCTCCTTAAATACTTTCATCTTTCAAGCAGCAAGGGGAAAACAAACAACCCAAAAAAAACAACCAAAAAACCCCAACCAGGTGGATCCTGGGTCAGCAATGACATGGCTATTTGTAAATTTACAGCAGAATCATAAAAGCTTTTGGAGCTCATTCAGAAAGAAGGACATAATTTCATTTATTAAAAATACATAAAGCTTTACTCCGCGTACACCTGAAAAACACTGTGGAATAGCATTTCACTCCTCAAAGCAGCATCTCTTACAAGGACCTCAAAACTTTCTCTTCATCCACGATCCTCTGCATGCTGACTGTAGCCCCTCTTTTGGCAGACACAAACAGTGTGTCCAAGGAACCTCCACATCTTTGTCGTTTTATTTCTTACCTTCACTCTCTAACTTTTCCAATTTTCTAGAAAGCATGGAGTTCTATAAGTTTCATACCTGAAAGCAATGTTTTTGACATTGAGTGTATTGACTTTACAGGTCTTCTGTTCAAACTGACTATCTGTAAGGCATTCAAGGAAGACACAGGTAAATAATTTCATATTCTAGATATTGTGTATAAAATTTAAGTATGAAAAACTATAGATTTGGCTGTTGCAGCTTTTTAGACACAGTATGTTAATTAAACAGTGCTAAAATGCACCATAAAGTATTTCATTACCTTTAAAAATTGTTTTAAATGCTCATCTTCATGTAACCAGTCTTTGTAGAGAGAAGTCCACTGTGACACCAAATGCAAGACTTTTCGTTTCCTACAGGACACATCAGAGTCATCTTCTTTACCTTGGTGGCTCTTAGCACAATAGGTACAGGAGGTTAAGGAACAAATAATAAGGTCTCACTGAAAGTCAAGAATTAAGTGGTAAAAAGACTTTGCAATCATCTCACTTGCTAGTGAAAGTTTTTTTTTATGATTTCTTTTTTTTTTTACTACATTCTTCAGTTTAAAACGTTTTATCTTATCTGGAGCTTTAGGAGTTTCATCAACTTTTTGGAATTAAATTCTCAGTAATAGAAATGTCAGTTCATCTTCTGTGCCAACAGGATTTTTCTCCTTTATAGATTAGAGGGGCGAGCCTATAAAAGTAAAATCAATTCAACAGGAAGTATACAACGTTGAGTCATATCTTTTCTGCAGAACTGGGAATGAACCTTTGTCCTGCAGACTGGTGCCAACGTGAATGTCTGTGGGAAGGAGAGCATCATTAACAACAACAAAAATCCCAGGCAGAAGAAGTCAATTTCTTTTTCCCTGCACAAATTATACTATCTGAAGAAATGACACTATTAATTTAAAGGAAGAAGTGAAAGAATCCATTTCTATCATTGTTCTCTATTCACAAAGCAGTAGGACCAAATGACAGAAGATACCCACTTTGTACATTGTTCCTGTCCCTTTGCTATTCTTTCTTTTATTAGGTCAAAAGATGATGTTTTCACTACAAAAGGTAAAGCTGAAAAAAGAAAAGAGAAAAAAAAAGTAAATTCATTTTATAGCTACAAGTTCATTCAAACAATGATCCCCAGCGTATGGAAGTAATTGGAAAGACAAGAAAAAAAATCTTTTATCCCCGAATGCCTTAAGAATTATATACTGCATCACATGATGAAAGGAGCAGAGATTGTAAAATACTTAGAATCCATTTTTTTTCTTCACATTCTGAAATGTATTACACAAATATAGGCATTCTAAGAATCAACATGTATGTCTGGACAAGTTTTAACCCCACTTCAAATGTTACTCTTTGACAGTTATAAAGGTTTATTTATCTTTAAACAAATACAGCAGACACAAGATTGCATTGTTGCTATGAGTTAGGTATCTCTTTCAACACATTTTTCAATCATTCTTGTGAAGTTAAGTATGTACATACACAAATGTGTGTGTTTTAGATGCAGGTTTATCCAGAGGCACCTTTAGCTTTGTGTTTCCTCGTATCTAACACAAAACTGTTTTACAGCAATTTAATCTCACCACCTCTTGTGGTGATGACATCAATATGGGAACAGATCCTTCCTTTCTTTCCTCCTTAGGTATCTGAAAACTGTCCAGTTTACAGTTCTTTTTTTTTTCCCAGTAAAACAATCCCAATTCTTTCAATCCTTCTTTGTAGGTCTTTTTCTCTAGGATACTGGTAATTCGAATTGCTCTCCTGAAATGTCTCCTATTCATGCATTTCTTGGGGTTTGATGCCAAAATCTCAGGTGCAGTCCAACTTCTAAGCATGCCACAATAAATATTTGACAATTGTTCTCTTTTCTCACCACTTTTACACACAACCTCGAAAATAATTAAATGGGTTGTATTTCTATAACATCAATATTCAAAGAGCAAAACTAAGGCATGCAATTTACATTTGATATAAGGTTTGACAATAGATAAGCCTAGTTCTAAGCGTGTGCCCTGTTAATGCAACACTTAATAAAAGGATATTGCCTCAGAAGTGCCTGGCACAAGTCATCGGTCGTCATGAAGACTGTGTACGTGAGAAGGAAGTCATCCAGGAGAGTTTCTGCAGAGGAAGACAAAGAAGCCCAAGGGGCAGTAAATTAGTGAGGGGAAGAACAGAGCATCTACTCTTGTTAGCATGCATGGGAGTGATAGGACACCCATTTCTCCCTCCCCCCAAAACCAAAAAGGTCCAGAGCATACAGAATACCTCAAACTTCAAGTTTCAAACAATCAGCAGTATGTTACCACTCGAGAGATCAGATCCTTGATTTAACAAGCATATCCCCTCTTCTCAAAGAACCAACAAGCACAACTATGCACACAATAACCCAGAGTTTGGGAATCAGATTCCAGAGAAAGAGTCCTTATCACAAACACCACTTGGCTCTGCTGAATGCAATGCAACTTTGCCACCAACTAAGTTGTTCTGGAAATTCAGAAGAAAAGCTTTTAGTAATAGGAAAGAGAGAAAACTGTGATAGCCATGTACTTAACATGTAGATTAACATCTACACACAGTGATAGCCATGTACTTAACATGTAGATTAACATCTACACACAGTAGCTGAGAACCGTGAAATAAATAGACTGAAATCTTTAGCTGGTTAGTCTTGTGGGAATCATTATAAAGTGCTGATAAGTTTTCTTTAAGATTTATTTAATTACTTTATGCGAGGTGTTTTCCTCCACCTAGTTTCTATCAGTGTTACAAAACTGGGCTGAAGATATTCATGAACAGACCATTGCTACTCACTGCAATTGTAGCACCTCAGGCTGTCAGGAGAAACAGCACTGTCAATTTGGAACCCTGTGTAACTTTCTCATTCCTCATTCCTTTGCTACACCAGTTTTGGGATTTTACTGCACATAGCAAGAGGCTGGAGGACTAGGTTTGCTCTAGGATGAAGGGCTTGGGTAATCTTACAGTGATCTTAACAACCCAGTGGCAGAGCAGAGATAAGACAGACTTTTCCTGGAGGTGTGCAGCAAAATGATAAGGGCCACCCACCAGAGATTACACCAAAGGAAAATTTGTCTAAATACAGGGTTTGGGGTGTTCACCTCCTGTGAGGAGGGTCAACCACCAGGTCAGGTTGCCTAGACATACTGCAAAATCTCCAACATCAGGTATATTCAGGGATTGCCTGGGTAAAGCTCTGAGCATCTTGATCTTATCAGACCCGTTTTCAGCAGAGTTTGAACCAGATGACTTCACAGATCCCTTCCAAGGAAATTATTCTACAGTTCTTGAACAAGTTTGCTTCCAATTTTATTAAACTATTCACATATGATGTATGATCTAGGAATAAATTTGTATTTGGTTCACAAACAACAAAATCTTTAGTTTTCTTCAAACAGGCAAGAGAATTATATTGTTCTTTTTAACCCCAAAACAAGAATGTTTGTGTTTGTATTTTTTTCTTCCCAACATGGTAATATTTTCCTCAAAGTTTTGTGGAGTTCCTGCTCACTGTATTTCTTTGAATTCCAGCAGATATATTATGTTCCCTTTAACAAGAAAACAGGTTTGCAACACCTGCTTTCTCAGATAAGAACAGGAACAGAGGCTGAATAATAGCAGTAACTTATTCCAGTTATATAGCAGAGAAAAAAATGCTTTACCAGTATAACTAGTTGTTAGTAGTTAGTATCAATTACTCAGTTGTAATTTAAGTGGTGGTTTACAACTGTGAAAACTACAACTACAAACAATACCTCAAATGAGAAAGATAAGGTTGAGCCCTGATTTCTGTATCCCAAGTTTCTCACTATTTGTTTGCAATCTGTTCTAGTCCAAGCTAGTCCTCATGTACAAGCATGCAACTGAGAGCATCCCACAAGCTTTTCATGCCAAGGCTGCAATTTCACAATAATTTAGACCAATTTGAGTTACAGCTGCCTTGTACATCCTTGTCAGTGAATTATTGACCTCACAGCTGCAGTGTAGGATGGCAATAAGAATTCATCTGCACATCATTCAAAACCAGATATTATGGGGATATCACATGGATGGATAGCTACTGATATCCCACCCTGTGAGCATGGGATTCAAAATACCTCCACTGTTCTTAAAAGAAAAATAAATCTAGCTAGATCAATGTATTTAACCAGCTGATCTAGAAAAAGTCCTGACCCAAAGACAAGCAGCTAAACCCCTTGACATTCAGGATCAAAACAATTAAATTCTTTATATTTCACCAACATTGTTAAAAAATGGTGGAAAGTATTAGCTCTGCATAACAACTATATTTTGTTTCAGTAAATGAAAAGACATTGTGAACAGCTTGTTCTATATCTGAAAGGTCATCTATTCATTCTGTTGCACATCTTTTGGATGATACAGTGCAGCTATTAAAGTTCGAGGTATCACAAACATTTATTTGGAAATCACTGATCTTGGAGTCAACAACCACATTTTAGTTCTTCACTAAAATGTCACTGTGCAGTGATCCTCATGAAGTCAGAGATATTTACAACAGATTATTTCCCCAGCTTTCTGTATAGGTGATATCTGAGTTTCAGGAATACATAGCCATGTGTTCAGAAAAGAAACTGAGTACAGATGAAGCAAAACTGCAATGTTTATCAATGAAATTCTGCAACTGATTTCTTTTTTCTTCTAAATGCAAAAGAAATTCTAAGAAGAAAAGTTCATAAATTATGATTCCTGTAGCTTGTATATGGGGCTAGATCTCTTCAAATTGTCTCTGAACTTGCTTAGAAATTTAAACCCTGAAGGAAGTTTGGAACAAAAAAAAAAGTCTGAATTCTACATATGGTCCATTAATAGTATCATTCACCTGTTAAATTACTTTAACAAGTAAGCAATGAAAGTGCTTTTGCTAGATTAAATATCTATTACAAGGAGACTTATATATTTATATACATAATATATATATTATGATTTTTTATATAATTTACCTAAAGACTTTACAATAATATTCATATTTTCAAATGCCTGCACTAGCTTGTAGGTATTTGTATTTCCCTGAAGTCCTACTGTTCACTGTAACTGTCTTCTGCATTTTCTTCCTAAATGCATTGTAATTTAAAATCATTCCAGAATGGTTTTTTATGCCATAGAAAGGGCACAAAACCTGAGGGTGTAGTGATTCTTCAAAAGGAATTTGTTCAAAACAAACAATTGGACACTTCTCAGATACGCTTGGACATTAATACATGTCCACAAATAGTGATTTGCTGTTTTTAACCTGCAAACAGAGAGAAAGACAAAGTGTGAGAGAATTTATTCACATCAGATTATTCATTCTGCTACTAATGGCCACTAAGAGCAGAAAATTTGAAAGATGAAGGGCTCTAAGTGTACAATTTGGGCTGATAATTATGAACATGTCTTTACAGGGTTTTTCTGTTTAGTCACAGTTGATTTAAGAATTAAGGGAGAAAAAAAGACAATTCCACTCACATCATTATTTACAGTGCACCATACCCCCAGAATGGCAGTGAAATACATACCTACCCCTGCTTTTAAATATCACTGTGTCCCAGTTTCTGCATTAACTTGCAGCCATCTTCCCCGTTATTCCCATAGAAAAACTTTCTTTTCTTTTTGTAGTACACAGGGAGAATAAAATGCTTAGTAATAGCTGGAAAAGAAAAGCTCAAACTGGAAGGGAAGTCTGCAAAAGCCTGTGAAGTTATGCTATATTTTTAATTCCTCTCCTTCATGAATTTCTTCAATAATTTTCTTCTAGCCATCAATCTAATTTTTCTTTGCTCCTCACAATTTTCTTTTATTTGGCTAAGCAATTATTACAAAGTATGCAGTTAGCTTGCAGCTATGGGATATTTAATATCAAAGACAATTTCAAGCATTTTAAAGCTTCATAAGGACATGCAACGGAACCATCATGAGTCCAATGGGCTCTTGTTCTTGCAGCATTTGGGGGGCAGCCCTAGGCAGTAATCTCACCACACTGAATGTGTACAAGTACCACAGGCATAAAAATAATTAAAAGGCAGGCACTGTGCTTGTTTGTCATTAAATAATCAATTTGCGTCAGGTTCTGCTGAGACAGCTTCTCATGGGCTGTGTGTGTCCCCTCCTTTCACCACGTGAAATAAGGCAGCATGGACACCAGCTTTACTGGGAGCTGCTGAGTACAGCTCATCCCATTTTTCTTCCATGTACAAGTCCTTCTGCAAGATACATTCAGGGTGGCTAAGGGATGGAAAAAGAATATATATACATGGGATGTTCTCACACACATGAATTTCCCAGGAAACATCTGGTTTCAGCTGGTAACTAAAGGACCCTACAAGAGGATAGATTTAGATTAGATATCAGGAAGAAGTTCTTCACTATGAGAGTGGTGAGACACTGGAACAGGTTGCTCTGAGAAGCTGTGGCTGCCCCACCCCTGGAAGTGTTAAGGTCAGGTTGGATGGGGCTTTGAACAACCTGGTCTAGTGGAAGGTGTCCTTGTCCACGGCAGGGGGGTTGGAACTAGACAGTCTTTAAGGTCTCTTCCAACCCAGACCATTCTATGACCCAGCAATTTGTCTGCATGAGAGGTTGTAAGTGTATTGCATGTGTAAGGTAATGATGACGATAGCAAACAGTAACGATGCATGTATTTGGTGGGGAAGGGCGATCTAGAGTCCCAGAGACAGTAAATGGTCATATATTTGGATAAACAACACACCATATATGTCCACGTACTTATAAAATCCAGATGATTCCCTGCTGCTTTCCATGTGCCCATTTACCTCTCTAACCAGTTCATACCCTTTCTCTGAGAGGGCAACTCTGCAAATATTAGCTCAATATGATGTCACAATTGTAAACGCCAGGAGGGTAGAATGGGTTTCTTACATGGAATTAGATACCAAATTTGATTCTAAAATGGGTACCAATTACCAAGCCTTGGGTTAGAAATGAATACAGATCTGTAGAGAGAAACTGTCCGTGATGCACATTTAACAAATTGGGACAGGCAGTACACTTTTATGGTGTTGCCAAGTCTAACACCTGTGAGCTCTTCTCAAGCATTTTCTTAAACTACCACAGCGGTACAAAGGCATCAGTGTAGCAGTTTC